TTTTTATGACACCAACGGGACGATATGGGTTAGTATATTCTTACTTATACCGTAAGGTGACAGTCAGTTACGTATTTATGAGAAAATTCCTAAACCAGCAACAAGAAGTAATATCAAAAGTGTGATATTTTCATCCGCTGTCCAAGCATGTTGATTAGGGCACACCCATCGGATCATTTTATACGTGGTAGAGCCACGGTGCAGCTATTATGATTGTAGCGTGAATAGATTTGCTCACACAGAATACTAACGTAAAGTAGCAGCTTATTATTGCTGTGTTTCGTAAGATGAGAACCGGAGACCCTTTTTAACCGAAACACGGCATTTTGTCTTAGTCCTGATGGGTGACAACGCATCTGCAATTTGATTCTTGGTCGGGGATAAATGTATACAGACTGTTAATGTAAACACCGTTATCCTTGAAACCAGTGGTGTGGTTTCACTTCGGAACGTATATTCAATGAATTAAAAAAACGCTATTTTCTTTCATACGTAAAATTTAAAAAGTGCTGTCCGACACCGTCCGTAAATTCATGGATACCCTATGCGCCCGAGTGACGTAATCACTGTAAAGATCACCGCCCGCGCTAGCTACACATTCGATAAAGACACAATAGGTACACATAAACTGTGATGTAACTTATCCTCCATACTATCATCAAAAAAAAAATTGAGATTTTACTAAAAAAAATGTTGTCATTTTTCATTGAATTTACGTTCTATAAATAAAACCAAACCACTGGTTTCAAGGATAACGGTGTTTACACTAACACCCGTATATATGGGCCACTTACCATCAGGTAATCTGTGTGCTCGTTTGTCACCCTTTTCTTTAAATAAACACATCCCATGGGCGGGGGTTAATCTACTCCTAATTTCACAATTACATGTTGACATTTATCAGTTGGACTAGATTAACATCTATTCTGCTCTCCTGTCCGGCGAATAGTTTGCCGAATGACTCTGGGGGAAAGCGCAGGTCGTGCTGATCCCCAGGGCAAGTCTGAGGAGTTCTTCCTTCACGTAGTTGCTGCATGTTATTTGGTATGGTTCAATAGGAAACAGACAGAACAGAAACATTCAGACCCCTATTTCCTATCCTAACCAAATCCAAGGTGCTAAGCGTACCATGCCGATGGATGCGTGGGTGGTAGTCCAATCGCAAATTTTTACGTGGTAGAGCCATGCTGCAATTATATTTGTAGTATATTTGTTGCATGAATGGATCGGCTCGACCGGGGAAGGACCATGCTCTCACAGAATATCAGCGTCGAATCAAATTGACCAGCGACCTCTTGAAATGTCTACAGAGATAGCAAGGAGCAATTTGGGAACGTTTTCTAAAAACATCAAAACAATTGAAGGTCTGGAGTTAGCGTCGGAGCCAGTAACTGTAGGTATCCTAAGGTAACATAGGTATAGGTGAAGCCTTAGAGGACAGTTGTCCCGTCAAAATCAAAACCTCAACACGAAAAGCTCCTTGGTAGAACTCTTACCTAAAGCATTATTCTGTGCCTGAAGGAGCTAAGGCAAAAGACCAGGAAACTATTCAATAAGGCTAAAAGAACAAAGAGTGGGATGTTTATAATGCAGCCCTAACCGAATATAATAAAGAAATTAGGAAACTAAGAAAGCATCGTGGAGGAAGCTATGCGAGGAAGTTGAGTCTCTGCCTCGCAGTGCACGCGCAAGACTACACAAAATGATATTGAAAGCTAAACCAAACCAAATCGTGCTTATGAAACAGCCTGACGATAGCTTTACTACCAGTGAAAAAGAAACGTTGTAGTTACTAGTGTCAACCCATTTCCCAGCGTCACATAAGATTTCTGCCTTGAACTCTTTTAAAGCCCTACGAAGGTCTTATAATGAGGACTGGTGTATGGCTGTAAAGATAATAAGAGCAAAAGTGGTGCAGTGGGCTGTTGACTCTTTTAAATCACATAGGACAAGCTTGGAATAATTCTCATCCAACTACTGAGGGGTATCGAAATCCTTCCTTTTTATCCTTATTATATATATGGTGAAAATCATCAGACCTAGTCTTGCATGGGGTTATATTCCAGAATGATGGACAATTATCAAGGTTCTATTTATACCTATAGCTGGTAGAAAGGACTACGCCTTACCAAAGTCCTTCAGACCTATAAGCCTATCTTCCTTTCTTCTTAAAATACAGGAAAAGGTTATAGATTTATATATAAGGGATGTAGCTCTAGCTACGAGGCCCAGTATAACCATAATTTACACAAAATCTGATAGTCAAGCAGCACTGCTAGCGCTGAGGTTAAACTTAGTGAACTGGAGCTAGTTGGAGACTGAGTGGATCGTCTAAACGCCCTGGGATGCAACATCAGGGTCCTCTTAAGATGGGTTCCGAGTCACACGGGTATTATAGGTAATGAATGAACTTGCCGACAAACTGGCATGGGAGGCTCAAAGAGTACACAAATTGGACCATTTTGTGGAATCTCAAAAAGCATAGTCCGATTGACCCTTCAAACTTTTTATCATAATAAACCACTTAAGAACTGGTTTGACACATCACGATTAAACCTTTCTAAAACCTTCACCCGAGCTTTTGATCGTAAATTCGCTTCAGAAGCCGTAAGATTAAGTAAAAATAAATTGCGCATTCCGGTTAGAGCCCTAACTGGACACTGTTGTCTTAAAAATCACATGTTCATTCTGGGACTACGCAACTCAAGAGTGTGCCGGTCCTGTTCCATAACAGAAGAAATACCTCTGCACATCCTAACTGATTACGGACTTTAATGCGCAAACGTAACACTCACCTCGGAAACTCTATGTACTACAAGAATAAGTGAAATTGCGCACAGCTAAGTAATTCCTTCTATTCATAATGGACATAGGGCTTAGCAGTGAACTATAGCCATAACAGCTATCACAATAGATCTTTTAGGTCTCGTGCCTTGCTTACATATATAAAAATACACATCCCATACAACATAAAAGAGAAAGAAACGTCCTGCGGTGGACTCTTTTAAGGTTGATGAGGAAAGTGGTGAAAGCCGAATAAGTTTTGAGGAAACAGTTGCGACGAACGATGGAAATTTATTCCATAAGTTTATGTTAACGCTATCCAATTTTTGCATGGTCCAATCAGTACGGTTGAAATAATTGTCATTACACTACATTTACTATGTGACAATTTTGAAAAGTATGTCCTTGATTTATAATATGACGTGAAGTTCATGGTCGGGTTGCTGACCCGCCTGCCATGCGTGGCAACTGTGGCGAATAGTGCTTTCCTTCCTGTTAATGAATGGTAAAAGCACATGCTTAAGGCGCATTAATTTTGCAGGGATTTAAAACAGAACTATTCAGATTCAAATTAGCATCAATGAAACTAAATAATTGTAGTGTAGGTAAATAATTAAATTGTAAAGATATCTTGTGATCAACTGTGTGAAATATGGCGCAGAATAATATTTAGAACAATTTTTCCATTAATATTTCATGAATCTCCGAGGTTTTCCTGTTCCACCGACAAAAGTAGGTTTACTCACACTAGAGAAAATCCAATTCGCTGTTTCGTGCATACACCCGCACACACTGACGCGTGACTTGAGGGAAAAATAAAATTTCTCGCTAAGTTTATAATGGGAAAACTTTGAGAACCACTTAATTATGTTAATGTTTGAAACAAAATTTTAGAAGAGACGTTTAAATACGGCAATGGTTTGATTTAAGAAAAATATTTTATTATTAATGCGCACGTATACGTTTCTTATTATACTTTTTATATTTATCTACTTATATTTCTTTACATAGGGTTTGATTTATAGCGTAGATTGAAAAAAAAAGACTACTAATTAGTTGGTTAATTAACTTAATTACAAAGATTTTGTGAGATTATTAAAATAATAAAAAGTAATTTATGTTTTAGTTACAGATCATAAATAATACTATTAATAATATAATCATAATTTTATTATAAAATATAATTTAACAGACTTAATTTATACAATAGTTGCTTTAATAAACAGAGGACAATTTTTGGTTTCCGTGAAAGAAATTGAGGATCAATTATTATTGCTTTACATCACGGCATCAGAACGTTATATTCTTGTAATGTTTTTGCGAGCACATATTAACACGGGTAAAGATTCAATACAATAACAGCTCTCCTCGATTTGTCCCTACTATATTACAAAGGTTTAATTTCATTCCTGAAGTAGGTTCAGGAAATTAATACCTTGAACTAATCAAAGTTTCGTTGGCGTTTCTGAAGTCATACATGTATAATTAGGGCCTGTGAGTATAATGTTGGAAGTTCTTTGAATTATTTTATTACGGCATGTTATACATTAATCTGCGTAATTCGTATCTAAAATACTGTAGTTGATTACGCACTGATTTTTGAAGTTTATTCTTTTAATTAAGAAATAGGTTCAATTAATAACTGTAATTAATCTATATGTCTATATATTATTAATATTGGGTTAGTTTGGTCTAGTTATGGAAAATATAAAATACTTTATTGTCAGTAACTGCTTCTGATTTGTAGTAGATCATTACAATTGCAAAATAATGCTTGAGCAATAAAACCGGCAGGGAGCGTATTTAATACACGTAACAACCTATAGTTAAGTTAGCTTGTGTATGGTACGGTACGATATTTGTACTTATGTGTGCGTCTCGCGTATGTGTTATTGGTAAGATTTTACCAAATGCTCAATTGGTTTAAAATATCGTTTAAAGTGTTGCTTTTAGCTCTTTATTTTTTACAAAATAAATTTTCAGTACATACTTGAACGTATCCATGCTTTTCTTTCACACGGAAAAGTACACACAAGGTATATGGCGAAAAGTTATATTGGAAAAAAGTATGAATTGTATTCACGTCATACTGGCATTTAAATTCATTAAGAATAACCGAGCCTCAAGTAACGCGAAACGAATACATAGCGAATACGAAATAAATCATAAAACATTACCTCATTTTCATTTTAATGAAAATATCATTTCCTTCCAAGGAGGTATATCCAAACTTTACATCCGTCATTTTGCATGGGCCAACGGTCGAGTGGCGGTGGCTGGGGTGCAAGGGTGGCAGCGCCGGGTGGAGCGGCGCCACCCCGCGGCGCCCCGTCTCCTCGCGGGATCGATACGTCATTTGAGCTGGTCGCCATGGAGACCGCGAACGGAGCGGGGCGGCGCCGCGGCTTCGATGGCGGGTGCACGGGCCTCCGCGAAACCCGCGAGCCCGCCGAGTGAACAAATGCAGATAGCCTCATTTGGGGATATTTTCTTGTACAACGTGACAGATGTCCTGTTGCAGAATTTACACGTTTTAAAACGTATTATAACACTTAAATACCTAAAGTTTAATTAAACTTTTTGAGTTTGGATAACTAAAATTAATAGCATCTGTCCAAAATTAACAATGTTTTTATTTAACATAAATTATAAACATACTTAAAAACCCAACCCTACGTCGATCTGTATTTATGACTTCGACGGATGAGAAAGTTAGTTCGACCGGGAAAGGATTATTCTCTCACAAAATACCAGCAAGAAAAAGTGACTAATTGTTGTTCTGTTTTGCATAGTTAGTAATCAAAACTGGAGAACATTTTTCCCGACTTTATAGTCAGGAAAAATGTTCTGTCTTATGACATACCATCTAAGTACCATAAAAGTAAAAAAGCTTCTGCATTAGAGATAGATCTCTTAAGACATCTTGAGCTCACAGCATCAACTTAGCATTAGGTTCAACTTTGTACTTGTATTTCATTTTAATCTATTTATAAAAATAAATTTAAAAAATTTCATATTAGCTAAAGTGTCAGAATGAAATATGTAAAGTAATTTTTATATAAATGTCAAGCAGGTGAAGGTTGCGTTCAAAGAGAGTAGTATATACGAGTAATCACTACGTTTACTTGCGTTGTTGAAATAATTGATGTCAATAAAATAACGTGATTTTTACATGCATTTTTAATAACTTAACGGAATTCTTCGATATATGATTTTAAAACCTTGCAAAATTAATAAGAAAAGAGCACAAATTATGATTTATTCTCTGTACAGATATTTTCTGGAATTATAATGAAAACATGTTTCTCTCATTGTAAGTTAATTGGTCCTAATTTGGACTAACTTGAATAATGATTGTTATGAATAGCAATTGAAATATAGTGGTAGTCACATCGTCAGTGGTATTTTTATATGTGGTTAAGCCGAGGGTTAATAACGAAACAAAAATAATCTATTAATTATGTAGGCATATTCTTGTTTCACCTGTAATTATTGTACATAGTCAGGCACTAAAAGTAAAGAGTGTCCAAAATGCTATTGTTAACACATTACAATATTTATATTCATAATAAAAAACTAAAAACGAATACTAAAATTACCATACATTCAATTACATACAGTATAGTGCCCTGACTATATACTTAGCCTCTGAGATACAAAAGAACCAGCGCTCTTGTCACCGCATATGGATCCCACAGATTGATAGTCTTTTCACCAGATGGCACAAACTTGTATTTATGAATCAGTTCAACCGCCTCTGATGCAGTCCGTCTTTGAACAAGGTACTCTTAAGATGAGATCGTATTTCTAGAGGTGTATTGTGTAAAAGAGCTTACTCCTTTCTAAAGGATCGAGAACGCACCTGCAATTCCCCTGGTGTTGGGGTTGTTCATGGGCTGTGGTAGTCACTTAACATCATGTGAACCGTATGCTCGTTTGCCCCCTCTTCTATAAAAAAAGCTAAGCTAAGCGCTTCCTGTAATTTTCATAGCACCCGAGCAACCAGGGTTCAATCCCGTTCGGCACTAAAATTTTTATTTGCAATTATAAAATTGCCGATATTATTGCAATAATCCAATTAGCGCTGTCTCAGCACGTACACGGCGGTGAAGAAAAACAGCGTTATGAACGAACCGCATGTCTGAGAAATAAAAAAATATTTAGGAAACATGTGAAGTCAGCCGCGTCAGGCAGCGCAGTAGACATTTCCTTGTCTCCAAACACTTTCAGAAATGAGAGCAGGCCTGTGCCCAGCAATGAAACGTATATTATAGGCTGTAACTTTACTTTTATGGTGTATTGGGTTACTTAATGGATGAGGTTGCTATGAATGAAATCAAGCAATAGAAAGTTTTTTAGAATTAGAAAAATAATGTATGATAATTTTATTTATATGGTAAAGATGTTGATGATGATCATTCATCTAATGTATGGACATCTAAGATATATATATATATATATATATATATATATATATATATATATATATATATATATATATATATGAATATCGAGATAAATGGAAATGACTGCTTTGTATGCTGAGAGGGTTATTTACACGTCGTTTTACACTTACATGAATAATAATTCAAACAGAGTATGAATGTGTAAGCCCAAGACTGCTATGGATACGATTGAAAGTGGGCTTAAAGAAGTTGTTTGTACTAGGGGTCTACGCCCCAGACATGTCTAAGCCCACTCATATCCGAGAGCAGTTTTGGGAAATGGTAAGGATGGTATTAATGAAATGTAAGGGAAATGAAAATGTTGTTATGCTAGGAGATTTTAATGGAAGAGTTGGGGTGAGGAGGCTTGGTTATGAAAGGATATTGGGAACGTTTGGTGATGAAAGTATAAATGAGAATGGTGAAAGCCTCCTCACTGTATGTATGGAAAAGAATCTTTTTGTGACGAACACTTTCTTTCGCCACAAGAGGATTCACATGTACACTTGGGAAAGAGGTGATGATAGAAGCATGATAGATTTCATAATTGTGGATGAAAGATTGAGGGGCGCAGTGGTGGATACAAGGGTTTACCGGGGGTCAAACTTAGGAACGGATCATTTTTTGGTTTTATGCCGAATTAATGGTCTATTCAGGCGGTGGCGCCATCGGTCATCTGTGTCTACCACTGCGTTACAGCGTATTAGAACAGAAAGATTACAAGATGAAGGTGAGAAAAACAAGTTTAAATGTAGACTGAAAGAAAACGTAAGTGGTTTGGATGAATTATGTATGAATGAGTTAGACTTGGAGAATGTATGGCAAAATGTTAAGAAAGGTTTAGTAGATGCAGCTACCGAAGTATGTGGTGTTAGTAAAAGAAAGAATAAAAGGAAAAATAATACGTTATGGTGGGATGATGAGATACGTACGGAAGTTGAAGCAAAGAAGAGAGCATGGCTAGATTTACTAGCAACTAAGGCTGGTAATTCAAGCGGTACGAATGATGATTTTGAAAGAAAAAAGGCAGTCTTTAGACATCTAAATAAAAGAGTAAAAGAAGTAGTTGAAAGGAAAAAAGCAAGAAAGAACGGATAAGAATGATAGAAGAATATCGGATAACTTCCAGGCAAATATTAAAATGTTCTGGAAACTCGTAAGAACTGCCAGGGGATGTTCAAAACAGCCTATAATGAATGCTATAAGAGATGAGAATGGCTATATTCTGAATGATGAAGTTTTGAGTTTAAAGAGATGGAAGGAATATTTTGAAAGCATGTTTATGAGTGAGGAGACAACGTATGAACTGAATGAAATAGGAACTCCGAAAGAAGAGGAAGAAGGTAGCGAGATAAGTATAGATGAAATAATGAAAGCAATGAGAAGCATGAAAGCAGGTAAGGCTGCCGGATATGATAGAGTTTCACTCGAAATGCTAAGGGCTGGAGAGGAAGTGGTGGCAGGCCTGCTGCACACCTTGTTTAATTTATGCTGGGAACTGAAGCGGGTACCGGGAGACTGGTGCAAAGCCGTGATAGTCCCAGTATATAAGGGAAAAGGGTCGCAGCAGGACTGTAAAAACTACCGCGGTATCAGCCTTCTTGGCATCGTGGGGAAAACTGTATGCCAAGGTACTAATTGAAAGGGTCATGAAAGAAACCGATGGAAAAATTTGGGATGTGCAAGCGGGATTTAGAAAGGGAATGGGATGTACAGATCAAGTCTTCTCCATGCGCATGATCGCGGAGAAGTTTTTGGCCAAAAACCAAAAGGTTTTTTGTGCGTTCATGGACTTGGAGAAGGCCTATGACAGAGTGGATAGGAATGTGCTATGGCAAACACTGAACTCATTTGGGTTGAGCGCTGGCTTGATACAGGCATTGGAATCTCTTTATAGGGACTCTAGTGCTTGTGTTAGGATCAACGGGGTCTACTCGGACTGGTTTGGCATCCATAAAGGTGTCAGACAGGGCTGTGTGGCTTCCCCGTGGTTGTTCAACCTATTTATGGACAGTTGTTTGCAAAATTTGAAAGTTGAAGAATGCGGATTAAGAATGGGTGAGTTAACCATCAAATGCCTTTTGTACGCCGATGATCAAGTTATTCTTGCGTCGTCGGCGGCTGAGTTGCAAATGATGGTTACATTAATGAATAGATCATTAAAAGAAAGGGGTATGAAAGTGAACGCAAGTAAGACAAAAATTATGGTTTTTGAAAGAGATGAAAGTAAAACGATATGTGAAATAAGAATAGAAGGGGAGTTGATCGAGCAAGTAGATGAGTTTGTATATTTGGGTTGCGTATTTAGCAGGGATGGGAGATATGATAAGGATATAGAGCGACGAGTGAACGCAGGAAACAGAGTAAATGGAGCCCTGCACTCTATTGTGAAGAGTCAAAATGTGTCAAAAAAGGCACGTATGGCAATTCACAATGCTGTGTTGGTCCCTACTTTAACGTATGGTAGTGAAAGTTGGGTATGGCAGAAGAAGCACGAGAGTAGAATAAATGCAGTAGAAATGCGGTCGTTAAGGAGTATTTTAGGGCTGAATCTGAATGACAGGGTGAAAAATTGTGTGATAAGAGAAGAGTGTGGTTTGCAAGATGATGTTGTGACCAGGATTAAGAAAGGAATGCTTCGGTGGTTTGGTCATGTGGAAAGAATGGATGAGGAAAGAGTGACAAAGAAAATTTATGTTGCAGAAGTGAATGGCAGAGTCGGAAAGGGACGTCCTAGGCGAAAATTTATCGACCAAATTGGCGATTTATTGAAAACGGGCCAAATTAGGAGTACCCTTAACCGACGAGCATGCATGCGTAGGTGTATGGATGTGAAGGAGGCGAGAGAGGTGTGTCAGGATCGTGCCAAATGGAAGTCTGTAGTCTCTGCCTACCCCTCTGGGTGACAGGCGTGAGTGTTTATGTATGTATGTATGTTTACACTTACACATTTTCACATTTTACACATATAAACTAACACGTCTGTAAGACTTGAATAACCATTTTTTTTTA